TTTTTTTTTTTTTGCTAGGGAAAACCCAATTATTTCAAAGCAAAAGTTATCTTAAAAATGAAACCTAAATTTAAAAGTTATTCTCTTTTGACATTTTGTTCCAAATTAACCCCACAACCAAGATAATTTTCAATTTTCTTTTCTATTTAAGATATGCATTTTGAAAGATAAAAGAACATACAATGAAACAAAATTACTAATAAAGATGACTTAATTGTAAAAAAAAATAGCAGCCAAAGTTTTGGTCAATATTCAAATATTCATGAGTCATCAAAATATTCATAATCTGCCTTAAAGTAGCTGTGCCCTCTGACTTAGTGATTTCTTTACTATAGGAGTACTTCCACATATATACAAAGATGAATATATAGTAATTGTACATATAATGATGATAGCACTGTGGACAAAAAGAGAAATAATGTCTAAAGAAGGGCAATTATTACAAAAATTATATAAATCTATATATATATATAAATATATATATATATATATATATATAATCTATATATATTCACTTGATGTTCACAAGGTGGATTTTTATATGTTGACATGGCAACTTCACTCCAATATGTTTTTAAAGGGGAGCAAAGCAATTCACAGAGCAGAAGTACATGGAATGATTCTGTTACGAATATCTGTGTGTTTGCATCTATACACACACACACACACACACACACAGTTGTGCACACACAATACAAGTGTCGAAGGCCACACTATTAACCATGGTTAATTAGTTACTTTTCAGAATGAGAAAGGGATAAGATGGCAGCCCTAGGGTGCTGATGGCCTTTCCAGTTTCTACCTGTATGGTTCAGTTTTATCCTACACTAAGCATGTCCAATTTAAAGCACACAGCTAGACAGCCACCATCCTATGACTTTCTCCATCTGACAGCAGTTCATTTGCTCACTTCACATTATCTTATTGCCAGAAACAAACATCAGCTGATGTCCTAGACTAAACCTAGACCACATAACTGAACTTCACCATCTGTACTTAGTTGCACTATTTTCAAATATGTGAGAGGCATCTCCTGCAGCTGATGCCCAGGTGTGTTGACTCTTTTAGAAATCAATAGTCTGGGGCATCCACTTCTTTATGTTTAAAGTACTTTTTGATGGCATCTTCTTAACAGTGCTTCTCATATGTGTGCAGCATGTACTGATCACTCAGTGGCATGGTTGACTGTTTACATCCTGTGCCAATTCAGCTGATACGTAATTAACATTATGTCTTGAGAGCCTGCTGTTGTTTGCAGCAACTTCAAGTCCTTATTCTGACACATCAACAACAAGCAGTGAACACTTGATACAGGGCCAAGACAACATCGATGTTGCCTTCAGTTTCCAGTGATCTCACACAGAAAGTGGCCTTCACAAACACAGGGCTGTTTCCACTAGCACTCCTGATTCTTTACTGTAGGAATGCTGTTTTGCACCTCACAATGCTAATGATCCACAGTGATTATTATATATTCTGTTTGTCATCAGATCAGTTGTAGTTGTGTACATTAATTTGATTGTGGCTGTATGGCAGAAGAAATAAGACTCTCTACAGTCTCACAGAACTGAATTTGCTTGAATCCCAAACTAAACTAACCTGTGTCAATGACGTAATCCCTCTGCATACTGGTTTTCTTTACTGTACAATGAGGGTAATTATAATGCCAAATCAACCCTTGGATTTAAGCTGAGAGGTAAATAAGATAATGCATTAAAAGTGCTTTAAATAAGTACCCGCCACAAAGTAATTGCCTACTAAATATCAGATTTAATATAAAAATTATATTCATATGTAAGTGTTTCAGGAATTTTTAAATTGATTATAGAATATGCAATATGGGGCATATGGTTATTTGAATAAGTGTTAATAGAATATAGAAGAAATAATTACTTGGTTAAATATTAGAGTTTTAAAGCTGTTAAATGTTTTATTATAATGAACTACTATATAGTATAGTATCATAAGTATTTTACAGTAAAGATATTTTCTAAATATAATATAAAAGCATTGGACAAGAATAAGAAAAATGAATAAGAAATATATAAATTTAATTTTAATAAGATTTCAAGTATATATATCAAAATTGCTTTCTTTCAGTTTGGCTTGAATCAAAATTTACCTTTGTTTAAAAAAAATGCAGCCTCTTAGAAAACTTCAGAATCCACTTATTTATTTTATCAGGGTCAGAATCTAAACAGGAACTCCAACTCATCTTACTAAGAAGCTAAACAAACACCCAAATTAATGAGTAATCTATTTTCCCATTTTCTTGACTCTGATTTAAATCGACATTTTTGCTTCCGATTTTACTGTTTATTTGAAAGCCTTTGATAAGTCTTTTCAGCTCAGTGGCTCCTCGAGTGTTCACTTTGAACAATGACTTTGCAGCTGGCCAAACCTGACTCTCAATCAATTTTTATGAGCACAAATTCTTGGGCTGATGGCTAGGTCTCCAGCTACATCACTCATGTAACACACACTCACGAGTGGTGATGAGATTCGCATTATCACCAGAGCACCATTCTGCCCATGGCAGCAGCAGACACAGCAGGGGGATACTGTCCTCCCTACGAAAAACGACTCCTTCACCTTTCAATAATGCTGCCTGCAGGTACCCACCGACAAGCTGTGTGCAGATAGAATGAGGGCTGTCTTTAAAAATACTCATAGAAACTACCCAGTTCCTCTCAATGGGTCATTCTCACTGAATCTCCATACATATCCATCTTGATTTTGAAGCGAGTGCATTCAATTTGTCTTCCCATTACATTTGGAATTGAAAGGAAGATTCAATTGTTTAAAACTTCCAAGAGTTCTCAGACAACTGGCATGTATATTTTAATACATTCAGGAATGAGATTCTATGAGTGAGTGTGTATATATGTACATATGTGCACGTACATACATGGTATTTAAATATGACTTCAATTTTAAGTTGTTACTACAGGTAGAATAAATCCATATGCATTATGGTTTGGGGGGTATATTCCCTTACATTTTAATTCTGAAGCATATGCATTAACCATCTACTCTGATTTACACAAGATTTGCTTTTTAAAATGTAAAATATATACTTTAGCTATTGGGAGGACTTTTTATCTCCACAGGTAATTTTCTCCAAATACCTACCAATTAACAATCTCAAAGTATTAGGATTCCTTCTTTCATTTCTAAACTGTCTAATGGGTGATAATCAAAGTGTTCATGTCTATAACTTTTGATTCCTGTGATCACATGCAAGAAAATAAGAGAAGGGGAAAAAGATGATCTCCCCTGCCCCAAACTTTCTCTGGTCAAAAGCAGAAGGAGATCATTTGACATCCTAAAACTGGTCTACAAAAGACTAATTTTTACATTAGAACAATCAGTACATTAGAAACTCTTTGGGCCTACAGTTTTTAAACCAGATCTCTAGACTAACAAGTGTTCTCCGCTCATTGATTAAAGCAAATGAGCCATTGGACATTTTGGTTACTGGGTCACAGTCTCACTTCTTTCCTACATATTTCTACCAGTTAAACTCTATGCTTACTAAGAGGTAGCTTGGTTTGCTCCCAAACTGTTTAAGCCAGTAACACTAATGGAATTAAATAAAATTCTACATGAATGTATAGAATATAACTGAAGAAGATTCATGCTTTTCAAAAACTCAACAAAGACCTATAACTGGGACAAACTTGTTGAATTTGATGTAGGTGAAACATTTTTGAGATAGGAATAAAATTAAAATCTCCAGAAAGATCTACACTTAAATTGCTTTGTAAATATATTTAAATTATTGTACCAATGTAAAGTAATGAAACCAGAAAGATCACCCAGAACTTTAAACAGGGAACCCTTGAGCTCTCTAACCATAGATTAACTCTGTGTAATCTTTTATTAGATTAGTTCTAACCACATTTTAATTGGGAATAAAATGGGTCATGTGGCTGCCATATAGGCAAATCTACTTTTGAMTGAATTTTTAAACTTTCAAGAAGAAATCATGGCATAATGGGACATTAATAGAGGTGATTTTATTCAACAACTGATGCATGGTGGTATTCTGGAAGATAGAAAATGTTAATTTTCCTTCCTTGGCATTTTACCATGTCAAGCTTGCCTCATGTGTTGTGGGAATAGTTGAGATTTTAGACTGTTCTAAGAATTCCAAGAGTGATTCTCTTTTCAGATATTTCCTTTGAAAATGACATCACATGAATTTATCACGAAATCAAATGACTTTTACTTGGAAAGTTATGATTTAATTTAAATTTAATTTAATATGTATGTTCTATGAGCAAAGGTTATCCATGATTTTAGAAAGCTAGCCAAACCATCTATACCAACAATCTTTAGTGAAATGAGTGGCATTGTTTGGTGAGTTTGTCAACATTCAGAATCTAGTCATCAATGATCAGCAGTCAACTTGATTTCAAAACATATGCATGTGGATTAGTAACCTATATGGCATAGTTGCWCAAAAATGAGTGATTTCATGAATTATTATTTATCTTTAAAATATCAGCTGTTTTCAAGGGATGCTCTGGGAATCTTGCAGATCCTAAAATCCTTTCAGAGGGTCTGTAAGGTTAAAATGATTTTAATAACAATATTCAGAAGTTTCTTGCCTTTTTCATATTTATTTGCTCACAAGTATACAGTAGTGCTTTCCAGAGACCACACTCTATCCAATATTGCAACAAACTGCATGCAGAAACTGATATGAGAATATAGCTGCATTCTCTGATGCCAGACAACAGAGAGATGTACAAACGCACCAAATAATGCCACTCATTTCACTAAATTGCTTGGCCTGGGAAATAGTTCTTCCAATTAAGAATGTAATTTAAGTTGGCATATAATGAATTTACTACTTTTATTTTTAAAGGAATTAAGTATTTCTTAAGCTTTTTTGAATACAGTAAATAGTGATAGATATAACTCACATAAATAAGTTTTAGAACCATGTCTTAGATTGACTATGTAACAGGAGGAAAAAAAAAAAAAAGACTAACCTGAACAAGGACAAAGTAACGTTTTTTCCATCTTTTCCAAACCTTCTGTCCAAGGGCATACAGATATCTGGTATGAAAAACAAACAAGAAAAAGAACATTTCACATGAATAATGTTGTRGTTCCTTGTAATCACATTTCTTCCATAGGTGTTTATCCTTGAAAGCAGCCAGCTAAAGGCTGTTTTCATTTGGAATCTGAGACAACACGCAGATACTGTGTTACAAAATGACTGAGCTTGTTCTAGGTTCTTGAAAGGAAATTGATTTATGTGGCTTATCAATTTGTCAGTCCTTACCACAAATTGAGCGAAGTAGGAGTTAGAAAGGATAATCAAAGAACCAGTTGGAATTTTATTCTTGCACATACTTCTTAGGAGAGACAAAGGCTACAAACTGAGGACATGGTACTAAAAGCTTCAGATCTCAAATGACCAGACTTGGATGGTGCAGCCAGGGAAGGAGCTAGCTATAGAGTCAAGAACCCAGGGTGAAAGGTCACTGTCTAGCTGGGTGACCCTGAGATGTGCCTATACTGATGTGTTTCCATTTCTTCATGTATCAAACCACAGGCCTGGATCTCCTGATTTCCAACATTTGCCAGTTCTATCATCTTAGCATTTCCCTGACTTAATGGAAGTATCTCATTTCACTTTTTTTTTWAATATGAAATTCAGATTACAATGAAGATGATGTTGTATAGTTTAGTATCATTTTACCCATGGCTTTTAACTGTCAGCTGTTATGTAATGATTAATGTGGTCAATCATTTGAGACTAAATTTTGGTTCTGAATGAATATATAGAGATATGCYGAGGTATCCAGGAAGGTAAAAAGAAGAGATTAAAATGTAACCCAGGGTGAGCTCATCAAGAAAATAACTATTTTAAAATTATGTCATGAAACCACATACACATMCCTCCTACAAAAGCAAAAATAGAGACTTAATTTTAAAATCAAAGAAATATGGTAAAAAAAAAAAAAGAGTATCATGGGGCTGGGGTATAGCTCAGTGGGGGAGCACTTGCTGAGCATGCCTGAGACACTGGATTACATCCCATGGGCCAAAACTAAAACAAAACAACAAACACTGTGGCTAACACAGTTTATTTAGGGGCTTAAAGTCTTCAGACCACCTCTCACAATTTTCATGGCTGAAATTTTAGCTTCTTATTTAAATAATCATCTTTTGCCACAAACCAAGCATACTTCTTGTCCCCTTTGAATAGAGTAAAATGGAGTGGAGCGTTGGCTAATGTGTGGTGAAATGAATAGACACTCTAACCTGCTACCAGTAGGGAGGGTAACATAAGACTTTTCCTGTAGCATAGCACCACAATAAGAAGAACAGTCCTACTGTTTTAGTTTTTGATAAAATTAATAACATAGTGAATATCTCATTATATAATATCTAAAAAGAACAGAATGCAATACTACACCATCCTTAGTGATCTGAAAATTTTAAGAAATATAGATGCAAAATGAATATTACAAAAATACTAATAACAGTATCTGTGAGTAACATAATTATGGTAGATTTAAGTTTGCTGTATTTTCTAACTTATCAGAATCAGGGAAAAATGAGTTACTAAAAATCAAAACAAAAACAATTGGGTTGTTGCATTGCAAGCATCATCTAAATTGCTCAAATCAATTATACATTTTCTTTTACCCACATAAGCTAGCTGAAGCATCTGGTGAGCTTCTTTCTGCCACTCATGTTACCCTTCATAGCATTGTTTGTGCTTTTAGATGTCATGTGAATTCATTTAATGACTGGCAGAAATATCTACTCCTCTTCTCACCTGCTTCACTGTTTCTTCTCAAGGTCCCCTTAAAACCCTTTGCATACCTTTACTCTAGCCTCTAATTTCTCTTCTCTGGTTCTAGTGATAGGTGTTCAGCTGTTCTCTTTCTGTCTTTTTCCTACATAATTTCCCTCTCTTGAAATGCACATACCTAAGTTCCTRTTACGGGGTTAACAGCAATGACCTCAGGAACTAGATGCTGTGGAGATGACAGCTGTCCTCTATAAAAGCATACCAACAAGATGTGTGCCCAGTAGCTGCCCAGCAGCCACAGAGGGCTTCTGAAAGAATATTTGCCTGTGACCACAGTCTGCTTCTCAGCTTTTTTCAAGTGTCTCACTTGGCAGACTGCTGGGCAACCAGTTCATACACAAGTGAATGTGAATAGTGACACAAACCATCAACACCACAAGCAAGTTAATGTGAGTTTATTGACAGTGAAGATCCTGCGTGAAGAATACCAGTCAGCAGCAACATCATTCAAAATCATGGATTAATAAATTTAGAATGTATGGTTTCTCTGAATACAGAAAGCATAGGGGTTGGTGGACACATACACATTGTATTTGGGAATGTTGTATTTGTATCACAGGAATATGTTATGACAAACAGAGCAAGAAGGAATCAGGGACGAGAACCAAGGTATACATGTGGGTACTCTAAAGCAGTTTTGGCTGTTGCATTTTAAGGAAAAATTCAGTTGAACATGTACAAAAGTGACAAAGGATCAAACATATCCAGAAACTAATTTGTTATATAAATTTTGCCAGCTCCCAATGCAAGAAAATAATAACATTTAACAAAAGATTACCTGCAAAATAATGTTATAAATATTATACAGAAAATAATATAATGTTTTTTCTTCTTAGTGTTTTCATATTAGATAAAATTCTAGTGCAAAAAATGAACCTGGATGAAATACAACAGCAAAATAACCATACCAAGTAAGAATATATTAAATTTCTCTTCAACACATTTAATTTTTTCACCATAAGCATGAATTCTGGGATCAGATACCAAGTCCCATTGTCTACATGCTTTTTCATGAGTATGAAAGCAGATTCTTGGCCTAAGGGACATATTTAAAAACCAGAGAGGAAAGAAGAGGAAGAAAAAAAAGAGTTCACCAATATTGGTGAASAGTAAAAACCCTAAAAGCAATCTAAGGATCAAATGATTCGATTGTCATTAAAAGTGATGAAAAAAATTACTTATGTACAGAAAATTCTTACTAAATAAAACAAGCAGCCACACAAGCTCATATTTTATTTATGGGAAAAATCCAGAAAATTCAATGACAAGTTAAACCTGTAGTCAATATCTGTCTGGCGAGCTTAAAGATGGATTTCATATCCTTCCTTATGGCTTTTTTTTTGCCTTTTAAAAATGTGTATACTGACTATGTCTTTCTTCCTCTGTGTTCTGTAAGGATTATTAGCAGTTTACATAAAGTAAAATTTACCTGCTTTGGGTGTACAATTTGACAAATGTTTCAACAGTCATGTAACCATAACCAGTTGCTTATGGAACATTCCTATCTCCTCCAAGTTCCCTCATCCTCTTTATGGTTAATCTCTTCCTCACAATCCCAGCTTTGGCAACTACTGATTTGATTTCTGACTTTGTTTTTCATTTCCAAAATACCATATAGTTGGAATTATACAGTACATATATTTATTTGAATGAATTCACCTCAATGTGTTTATCCATTCACCAGCTGGTGGACATTTGAATTGTTTCCAGACATCTGGATATCAAAATTGAAGCTACTATAAACATTTGTGTCTTGGTGTCAGCAAATGTTTTCATTTCTATTGGACAAGTATCCAGGGGGATTGTTGTATCATATCGAAAGTGTATGATGGATTTTATAAGAAACTGCCGAACTATTTTCTAGAGTGACTGTACCACTTTGTACTACGGCTAGCAATATGAGAGGACATCTTGCCTTCTTAATCAGAAAAAATTATTATTATTTGACATTATGACTCCAAATATTTCTGATGTGACTAAGGTAAAATCTAGAGACAAGATCCTTTTCTTTTTGTCTTGAGGACAGTGGAGAGCTCTATAGGCTTTCATGGTGAAATAGGCTTCCAGCTTTCAAAGCTATCATCACATTGTGGAATTTGGAGCAGACTAAATTCTATAGACAAATGGGTGTTATTATCATTTGGGAGGGTTAGAGTGAGAGTGAGTGAAGAAAAAGAGTCAAAATCATTTGAATATTTGGTAATCATTAGATAATCAGTTTACCATATAACACCTGTAAAAATCAAAATGTATCCTCTCCTAACCCATCTTTATGCCTAGCATCACTACTGAATCGCTGTTTTTTTTAATGTTCAGTGCTATATTATAAATTATTTCTTTTATGGTATCTAAGATCTAATAGGTTTTTGAAATTTCAGGAAAACATGCAAAAGTTACATTTAGCTTGACATTATAATTTACCAGACAATAAATGCTGTTCCTTACACTTACTAAAAAGTGAGTTATTCTATATAGACTGTATTTATATCTATAACCAATATTTAGAGAATTTGCACATAATAAGTTGAATTGACTTCAAACAGTCATAAATATAATTTGATCTTTCTTTTATGATTTAGAAAGACCCTATAGTAATCTCAGAGTCATTATAACAAACATCAATTTTAACTGAATACTGTGGGGGAAAAAATGCAGCTGATAGGACTAAATCCACTTATCTGATATATGATGGAAATAGCACTAATTAAGCAGATCCTTTATGGCTATTTATTTGTCATTTACTTTGTGTTTCATGAAAATAGTCCAATATTTTTTTAAGCCTAGTTTTCAAATATTCTTGTCCTCCACATTTAAGACAAATCAGTATCTTAGTGCTTTATGAAATAAAAATCTACCAGGGGCTGAAGTTATAGCTCAGCGGTAGAGTGTTTGCCTTGTACATGTAAGGCACTGCGTTTGATTCCCAGCACCACAAATAAATAATCAAAATAAAATAAAAGACATCAATAACTTAAAAAAATATTTTTAAAAAAGAATCTACCAGGTAAAGATGTGGGAGAACATCATCCAAGAAAAGTATTTCCAGGCCTAGAAGGGGACAGAACCTTGGCTGGTGGGTCTGCTTTTCCTCAACATTTTGTCATCTGCCGGGTCATTACTATATGATTGATTCATATCAAAATGTCTTTTTTAAGAATATGTAAATCAGACCTGCCAAAATATCTGCAAGCTGGGTACACACGCTTAACTGGGATTGGCGAGACAATCT